GGCATTCAAAAACATCATACCTGCAAACTCAGCTGAATCTAATTAGCCTATCTAACCCACCATCTTAAATGTTTTAAATGTTTTATTTTGATGTATTTTTATGCTTTGAGTTACTGCCTGTTTGTATCTTATTATTTCTATTTTTGTTATTTTAAATTGTATTTGATGGATTTATATATATGTTATAAACTGCCCAGAATGATCTCAGCCAAATGGGCAATCAATCAATCAATTAACAATGGTAGTGTCAGCACGGGCCTATTAGAATTGCACCAAAAGGGTAGGAGGAACTAACTGAAAAAAAACGTGAAAAGATTGTAATCTTTTTATTTTTGTCTTTTTAAAAATTGCAGGTGCTCTTTTTCAGAGACAATAGTAGATTGCATCTTTCTTCATACATCCGAGCCCTACGATGTGTGTGTGTAAATGCCCTGTGCAAGCTGACCACATCGAACTGGTGCTTCATTTTGTTGGGCTTTAAAAGCATTCTCTCTCTCTCTTTGAGTTGGGAATGTGTCAAGATGGGCAACAGCCATTTTCTCAAACTTTGGCAGGTGCCCCAGGGGAGCCACCTTCATTGAGCTTTGATGTCTCCTCATCAGGACAGTCCGTGTGTCATATACCTTCCCTCGCTTCTTCCGGTGACTCTTTTTATCTTTAAGAATTACGGTGGATTTCCGTTGCTCCTGGATCCACAAGTCCCCAAACTTATGCTGAAGGACATCCACAATAGGTGTGGAAGGACGATGTGGCCTCCCGTATGTCACCGCATCCACAAGTCGAGGTGGATCCTTTGGGAACCTGTTCACCTCGGGTTCTTTGCAGCGGACATCATGGGCCTGGCGATAAAGGTATTGGTCCCGTGCAGTCACAAGGCCAGCTTTAACTGCTTTATAATTCATAGTAATGAAGTCCTTTGGCATATCCTTTTTTTTAATCACAGGGTGTGGCATTACATGCCACTGCCCTATGGCTTCAGGAACTCCTCTGTCAGTTCCACGCAGGGTTAGGCCATACGCAAAATCTGATCCTGGGATCTTTGCGCACCTTCTGCGGGTCCTTCCTAACTCTGGCTTTAGAATGAGGTGGTTCTGGAACATGGTGTTCCTCACCTGTCCAATCCTGTCATTTTCAGTCCCTGGCTGAATATTGGCTGCAGTGAGTGGCAGGAGCGGCGGAGGGCAAACGTTACTCACACTAGCCCTCTTTTTACATTTTTCCGGGTATCTGGCAACAAATGAATTCATTGCTGATGGTGAGAAACAGACCTTCTTTTGTCCAGCTTTTGCTTCCTTTCCCAAGCAAATGTTTGAGGCAGGTCTGTGTGGCCATCAAAGCGTAACTTGACACTTTGCTGTGTGTGACATCATAAACCATGCAAAATTTATTGTTGTCATTCTGTGTGTCATCAAAGCCAAAGCTAATCATTCAAAGCTGCTAGTCAGGTGTGTTACCTCATACTGTTAACAAGGTGTATCTGGAGCTGAACAGGAGGGAGAAAGTTGTCAATGAACCTGGAATGTAATTTCATTTAGTGTTCATAAACAGAACCATTTGGGTATGTAACTTTCTGTGATACTTTCAGTTTCTGGGGAAGCAGACCCTTACTTTCCAAATATAGCTAAAGATGTTCTCACATCAAGACTTCATTTGTAACCAAGAGATGCTTTGGGGTAAAACCAGTCTCCATCACATTTAAAGTAGCCATACTAAAATGAATAGGACTTAACATTATTACAGACTAACAAGTCCCATTCATTTCAGTGGGACTGATCTGGTTTGGGCTAAGAACAGATTTAGTTCTTTGGACCTCCTTTAATTTTTTTTAAGAAATCAACCTACTAACTAGTTAACTAACTGAATTTGCCAGAATGTTCTGCAAAGGCAGTCCTTCTTATTAAAAGATATATAGCAGTTGCCATTACTGTGACCTTACATGCTCTATTAATTCTCCTTTATCAGTGAACACCATTACTGTTACTTTTTAGTGTTTCTTATATATGATGACAAGGTGATGTGATGAACATCCTATTGGCAAGTGCCCCGTGAGATGCCACCACGGATAGAATTCAGGAAGGGAAACCATGTTATTTTAAAATATGGGCCCAGTCTACTCTGTTATTCTTTTCTTAGGGTTCAGTATTCAGTGTTTTACTTGCAAGGGTTAACAGAAAGCAATGGATATATTTTTCGGATATATTTTCGTTGATACAATGCCTGACCTTGGGATTTGGGGTGCTTCCAGTTCAACAGCTGGCTAGCACTACCAATCAAAAGCCATTGTGTAACAATTCCTTCTGCTTCCCCATGCCTGCCAACATTTTTTGGATAAGAAAAAAAAAATGGTGGGAAAACAGGCAGGTTGCACATGGAGGACAATGTAAACTTATTAAATGAGTCAGCGTGGTTGCCTGATAAAAGCCTCATTTACTAATGCCCTTGTTTTATAGTCTATGATGGAGATCATGGCCTTGAGCTATTGGCTCTGCACATATTTCTAGTTATTTCTTGTGCTTGTGCACACTGTATGTGTCTAGATCATGAGTGATTGGTATTGGTGATCTCAGATAATCTGTGGAGGAACTATCCCAGCAGTAATTAAGCAATGAACTTCAAATCCAAACAAACAATCATGGCAGTGACAGGTGGACAGGACATCCTTTAAAGCAGTGGTGTCCAACCTTGGCCCTCCAGATGTTCTTGGACTACAGCTCCCAGAAGCCTTCACCACCACCTCTGCTGGCCAGGATTTCTGGGAGTTGAAGTCCAAGAACATCTGGAGGGCCAAGGTTGTTTAAAGAAAGACAAATCTTCAGCAAACAACAAGATGTACTGAAAGAACACCACTTCAAAAGCAACAACTAACCTACAAGTCTCCCCCACAAATATCCAGGGAAATCAGGGATCTGTCTTCAGATGTCCAACAGCAATTTTAAGAAAAAGATAGCTAAGAAACAATGTTTTAGTTTAGTAACACCTTTATTAGATCACTAAACAGTTATGAGAAAAGTGAGCTTTTATATTATTTTCAAAGACAAAGATTTTAGAACATTTGGGGGCTGGGAGAGGAAGAAGATATTACAAAAAGCTAGGCTGCACCTACTTACACAGCAATTTTCTGTTGGAAATCCCATAGTTCAGCCACCCAAAATCTACCGCCAGAGAAAGGAAGGCTTTGATGAGAGTGCAGGTCTGCAAGGATCTTGCCTCCTCTTTAAGATGTGACTGCCAATTTCACCCATTCGATTTTTTTAACCCATAATAACAACGAAACTTGATTGCCTATTTTGACGACTGCTATCTTGCTTCACGTATGTCTGCTCTAAGCCTACAAATGGCCCCGTTTGCCCTCCCCAAGGCATTGAACAAACCAACAGGGGTCCTGGGCAGGATATTTACACAGAGATGAGAGACTGTAGAATGATCCCTTGACACTTCTCTTTCAAGGTGAATCTGCAAACACCCTCTTGCTTTGCCACTGGTCTGTATTCATCAACAATGAGCATCACATCTGGCCCAATTTTTTGCAACTATGTCTTTTTTAGATATCTTTGCCTGATGAAGAACTTTGGAGGACTCAGAAGCTCGCCTTATTAGTAAAATTTTAGTGATCTAATAAAAGTACTGCTCGACCCAGAAATTTGTTGATCTGCAGATGTGTCCTCTTCCACATAGAGAAAGCAACCATGAAGAGAGAAGAGCTAGGCACTCCCATCTGTGTGTGGTGGTTTTATCCGTGTGAGAAATGCTTCAAAATATGCCTAATAAGTGAATTAACAAACAGCTGTGGTAAAGGGAATTAGTCAATACGTAAAGTCATACTTGTGAATTCAGGCTATTAATGAAAACTGGAATCAGAGTTTTTGCCAGCACTACATCTGAAGCTAATTACTGCCATAGTTTTTGGAAACATATATATATATTAAAAATAATCACATTAACATATCTATTTGCGATTAATAAAAAATTCTGCCAATAGAGAGATAGAAGGTTAAACCTGCCGCCATCGTTCTCCACGTTCAGTTCATCTTTTCCCAAACCTTCTGAGGTCAAATGTAGCATGCAACCAAACCCCAGAGGGTGCTAGAAATTAATGTACACTCAGTGGTTTCTGCCTGAATCCATTTTCACCCTCAATTTTAAGTGATGCTTTCAATGGATTCCTCTATTTAAAGAAGATGGGAAATATGCATTGCAAATGTACATTCTCGAAGAAAGCTAGGTTTTCACTATGTAGGGGACAGTGTTAAATTGTCAAAGGTAGATGAGCCATAGAACTGCAAATCTCTTTTAAAAAAATTAAGGGCGAGAGCCATGGAGTTCCTCACATTGGATCAACAGCAAAGCCCTGGAGAAAGGGGGAACCCTTGTTCCCAGCACCATTTTCCTCATCTGAAACACCATCACCTTGAAATTGCTGTTTCCTTGTCTGGAAAAGATACATAAACTGAGCCCTAAGGCTGCAATCTTAGGCACACTCATTTTGATGTAGGTTCCCCTGAAATTAACCCCATGTTACAAGTACTAAGGGGTGTCCTCCGGTATGGGGAAGTTAGGGTATAAACAGAAGTTCCAGCCTTTCAGATTTTCATTCTGAGTTGTCCCTCTTCGTTTCTATTGACTGCTCCACTCTCATTTAAAATATTCATTAGTCCTTGTGCCTGTACTTCATATTTAAAATATGGCTAAACAACAATCTCTTTTAGAAAAGAATATTCAAGAAAGGAAAGCTTGCATCTGCAAACACAAATATAAATCATGTTTATCTCCTGAAAAGATCTGTGTCATATAACAGTGTCGTACTAGAGTCATACACAATCTTTCCAAGCACAGCCTTAATTGCTATGCTAATTGTCTGTAGTTTCCAAAGGCAAGACAGCTCATTATAATCAAGACTTTTTTAAAAAAAGCAAAAACAAAAACAAAACCTGATCTTCACAGACAGTGTCTTAAATGCATCTTTTGAATCTATGTTTTCTTAGTAAAAAAAAAATTCTTACGGTATCTTTTGAAGTTCCCAGTTTTTTCAGTCCATCCAACGGTAGCAAGTCAGCCGAATCCTTGTGATTAAACTGAACTGCCTGCTTCATTTTCCTCTGTTGCCGAAGAGATGCAGCTTCCCTCATATCCACCTCCTTCCTTGTTGGCTCTGTGAGGAGCCCTGAATAAAACATCTTCGTCTCCTTTGTGTCAGTGCCTTGCTTTGCCTAGCCTCTCTCTCCCTCTCTCCCTGGCTGCTGCTCAGCTCCTATACAGAGATGAATGCCTCAATGCTTTATTATGTGCACTTTATAAACAGCATCCGCATGACGTTTGGAGAGCAGCAGGTACCCTAGTGAGTATAGTGTCATAAAGGAGGGGCTACGCATTCTGCAATATGTAACACATCCCATGATATCCTTTTGTGGGGAAAGGCCACATTGGCTCTCAGCTGTCTGTCTTGTATATTTCGATTACCATCAGGTGCATTCACCAAGATGCTTCACAAAAGAAGCTACAGTGGTTTTTTCCCCAAAAAAACAAACAGCTGTGACCTTCTCTTTAAAAAAAAAGGCAAAGTGGTACACATACCATATGTTTATACATTTAAAGCCAAGCCATCTGCTGTGGATGCACTGTATATACCACAGATGAAACTGTGCTTTCAGTGACAAACCCAAAAGACTGTGTGGCTCAGCAGCCTTGTTCACAAGCCTCATCCGAGTCCTAGAACAACATGTCTTTCTTAGTTCCTGCAAGTTATACGACACACATGTAAACATGCACAGCACTTCTGGCCATGTCTGATGCATGCCTTATCATGCCAAGCTCAGGGCTTTGAAGCATCCTGGTGGAAACAGTCAAACATAAGGATTTTAGACATACATACAGTATATATCTGTGGTAGAGAGTGCCACAAGGCAGCTCCAGTAGCATCAACACCCCACACCTTGAGTCCATGTATTAACTTGGACACATGCATCTAAAACTGATTTTGAATCATGTGTTGGAAAGCGTCATCCAATATACCCAAGCCCTTAGTTCTGTGGTTCTCTGCCTTTGTGCCTCCAAATGACTTCCCTTTCAGCTTCCAGAAGTCCCAGCAAGCAGAGCCAGTTCTGGGAGCTAAGGTCTAAGACAACTGGAGGACCAATGTCTGAGAACGTCACAGCTTATTCTGCTTCAACTGGTGCACATGACAGACACAAATTCTGCTTTGGGATTCTTTTAGGCTCTGTGCAGGCTCTACATCTGACAGTACACTTTATCTTGGACATAAGGCCAAGAAGCAATGCACACTGGTATTTTTCATTGGTATGGAGAATATTATCAAGAGTGGTGAAGTTCCTGCCTTATCCAGAATACCAACTTGCTACGTTTACAGTTGGATGCTATAACATTGTGCAGTGTTCCAGTCCAGTGCTGAAGTGCAGCAATAAAGGCAAGTTGGTACACCAAGGATGAAGATATTTTAATCAGAAATATTTTAGTGCCTTAGAGCTTATATGAAACATTTTTCTGCACTAGTGAATAGCTGCATTCTCTTCCTCCATACACACTTTAAAAATTAAAATTTAAAAAGTGTAGATAAAATGGAATTCTAATGTCATGAGAGAGAGAGAGAGAAATGCGTACCCTTATATCTTAGAATTATCATGGCTCTGCTTGTAAAAGCTGAGTGGAAACTTCTTAAAACCCTCTTCTTCTTCTTCGTGACTGAAGTTCTTCGCTGTTCCTTGAATTCCCTCCTCCTCTTAGTATCATCTTTGTAAAGCCTGCACTAATGTCCTCTCTCACACACTTTGTGCTCACCCAACTTTATTTCTGGTTACTCCCATGGCCAAGGTGTTTATAATAAAACAGTCATCCTATTGCTGTTGTTACCACTATGGTCAGTTCCCCTTTTCCTTTTCCTAGCTATGACTGCAGACTCTTTCTGTGCCTTCCTTGATGGTTACAGCCCTGGCAAAGAAAATCATCTAAACCTAACAACGCTATTGTGCTTAAATATTAAACTAATTAAGGCTCCATATTAATAGTGTTTAGCTGTCTTTCGGTAGTTATTATATTAGCCTAATTAATTATAAATCATTGATTTATTCAGTGATCTTCATGTTCCTCTCCTATACCTGGAGAAGGAAGACACGCAAAGCTGAACACAAGAGAACAAAACATGTTCTCTTAGTATGGTTGTCAGGTCAGGAGGATCCCATTTTCATAGGTTTCAGGACCAAAACCTGAGACTGGGGTGGACCCTTCTGTCATCACAAGAGTAAGCCCTTCTGATGTCACAGAGGGACAAAAGGCAATAGTTGGTAAGATAGTTTTGGCCAGGATTTACACCACGGCTGCTTGGGCTTATACAGTTAGAAAGTTTTATGAGGTGTGACGCTTGTGCCCTCCTTCCCAGTCCCAAGTGCCCCAAATGGTGTGATAGGCTCGTGGTCAACATGCCACATAGCCATGAGAGGAAAGGAATGTACAGAGAGCTGGTGGGTACATTCACACATTGGGCTCCTTCGTGTTATTTGGAGTGACGCATAGATAAACACCTTGATACCGAGCTTCTGAGCCCAGGCAGCAGCTATAAAGAATAAAGATAGCCAGGTTTTAAAACTACATCACACACTAAAATAAAAACTTTCCTTCTTCTCCAGTGCTGTTTTCCATGAGATTTATCTCCCAGCCTGAAGATTAGAAGAAACATAATGATTCCTTGAGATTTCTTCTGATTGAGGTGACAATCCTACCTTGCAGAGTTTTGAGCTGTATTGTATGTAAGGCAGGATGTTCTGCTTTGTGATGACAGAATGACCTCAACAACCTTTTAATTCTCTCTAATCCTATATTTTTCTTTCCTTATGAAATGAAAGGTTGGTGACTGTCTACCCTAAGTAATCTAAATCCAGCTGTTGGAGTAGATCCATTGACTCAATGGGACTTACATAAATATTGACTTATAGGGATGTGCCATTTGGATTTTTGAACTCCAGTGCACAGACCTACATCTTGTATATATACTTTCAGACATTCTTGCATTTTGTTCACCTGGATAAGGGCTGAGTTCAAAGGCTCCATGGCCTAGCTTCAGCCTAGTTTCTGGTTTAAAAAGAAAGCTGCCCCAGTGCTATCTGAGAGTCCTAGAGTAAAAAATTGTGCATCCCTATGGATTTACCAAGTCTTAATTCAGTGGAACCAATCTAGGTGGGACTAACAGTTGGATTTAGGTCTAAGCTTTGAAGTTTAATTAGCAAATGTGCTTAATAATTGTATAACTTTTATTTAATTATTTTTAAAAATATATTGGAACTAGCAGAAGAACACAAATGGCACACTTATTACTTATGCAGAGTAACCTTTCTCGTCCCTGCCCTGATCCACATAATGTTGTGTTTCTGTCCCTTAAGCACATCATAAGAGCATACAGAAATGAAATTGCAGTGGTGCCTCAACTTACGTATTTAATTGTTTCCAGAACTCTGGTCGTAAGTCAAAATGGTCGTAAGTCGAACCACCATTTCCCAAAGGAATGCACTGAAATGCAATTAATCTGTTCTGGCCGAAGAAAAAAATCACATACACACATGAAGGGAAAAAAACACTGCAAGACCCATTGGAAACGTGATTAATCCGTTCTTGCTGAAGGAGGGGGGAAGAAAAGCAAACAAACCGTGCAAGACCCTTCAGAAGTGCAAAAAAAAAAGGAAACCAAAAAGCAAACAAACCATGCAAGACCCTTCGGAAACACGATTGATCCATTCTGGATGAAGGGGGGGGAAAGAAAAGAAAAGAAACCGTGCAAGATCCTTCGGAAATGCAAAGGAAAAAGAAGAAGACACAAAGCAGAAAGCAAACAAACCATGCAAGACCCATCAGAAATGCAAAAAAAGCAAAGCAGTAGAGCTCCCATATCACCTCCCCTTTTGGAGCGTATATGTGAGCAGTGGGGGCATCTGTGCAGGGTTGAGTATGAGAAAAAATTATTCCGTGTGTCCCTTATTTTTCGGTGCCCTCAGGATTAGCGAGTTGGTAGCTGGGGGTAAATCAGACAAATCTAGACTAGCTCCACAATGGCAGGATGTTGAAGTCAGGGATGGAAATGTAGAACTTATGATTGGGCAATCCAAGGGTGATCAATTGGGCAGGGGTAAACAGTATTGGGGCTATGCACCATTGATAGCATATGCCCAATCAGAGCCACGAGGGCGTACTTAGAGCAGAGGAGGCATGGCACAGGTTATTTTTTCCAGCACACTGATAAGTCCCCACTGACCAATTATCAGTTCTGGAAATTCATTGAATTAGTATTGCAGAAGGTGGCCGTTACAGGGACAAGGTTTGGCACCCATCCATTTAGGATTGGAGCGGCATCCACTGAAGCGGCATCCACTGAATCAGCCAACAGCACGGGGGCAATCAAGCACTTAGGCCAATGGTCCTCGTCCAGTTATAAAAGATACATAAGGACCCTACCTACTTGGTAAGCAGGGGCCTGACTTATGTCTTTACAATTCTGGGGTCAGGAAGAAGAAAACAGATAATGATCATCAGCCATAGTTATGTCTACTGGGCTGAGCGCTATGCAGCTACATCCCCCTGGGGGACCAACCTGGGGCTTGGAGTCCAGGGATACATTACATGGAAGGGGCTGCAGGGTATGCAGTGGGTCCAGTTCTGCAGAATGACAGCATTCGGTCACTTCCCACCAGACCTGCTGGTGGTACATCTGGGAGGCAATGATTTGCCGAAATTGCCAGGTAAGGTGCTGATCCTGGATATTCTGCATGACCTTAAGTGGTTGAAGGCCATGTATCCTGCGATGTTGGTCTTATGGTCCACAATTATTCCTCGGTTAGCCTCGCGAGGCTCTGAGAGGACTACTATTAACAAGGCCCGGTGGGGCATCAACAGGGAAGTATGCAGAGGCATCTGCAGTGGCATTGGGGAGGTGATAGGTCACCACAGGATCCAATTGGAGAAACCTGATTTGTTCTGGGGTGACAGCGTTCATCTTTCAGATACGGGTTTGGAGGTTTTCTCGGAATACATTAGAGGGGTCTTGCTTGCTGAGCTCGAAGGGCTCTGTGGCGTGCATGAGACATAGCCAGGCTAGTCCCTATGCTGTGGTGGGTAGTGCGGAAACAACAGGTATTTTCGGTGAGTCCTGCATCTGACCTCCCAGCACTGCGGATCATGTGATCACAGTGCTTGAGGCAGGAAAAAGCACTGAGCCACTTCTGGACCAACAGCCCTTGATTAAAGGGGGCTTGAGGTCTGGGGGTGTTGATCAGCGGCCGGCTGAGTTCCTGCTGCCCTTAAGATCGCTGGAACCTGAGGCTGGGGATTCGCCC